AACTTACCGAAAAGTGAAAACCTGAAAACACCTTAAAATTGAAAGAAATCACTTCAAAAACACATTAAAAATATTACCAAGAAGCACTGCTATAATACAATACCGCCTATTTTATACACAAATAATAAATATTATCAAGAAACACTAAAACGATTTACCGAAATATTTTTCAGTCCCGGTCCGTCACGGCATCCCGTCCAAATAATTAAATAAAAGACAAACGCAGTCGTATACTAACGGAGATCAACTGGAGGCTAGCCTCCTCTAACGCTATAATTTCTGCAACTGAAATTACAAAACGGGACGTATGTCGCTGGTTGGATCGGTCCCGCGAAGCTTGTGTTTTTTAAAGCGGTCGGAGGCTTGGTTCTCTTGCAACGTATGACATTTATTATTTCGGGTTGATGGTTTATTCGTTATTCGTTCATGGGCGGTGCGTTTGAGGTTTGTTGATGCAGGATACAGTGTGGTACGTACTACGTAGTGAGTGATAGTGTTTTTTCAGGCATATTATGTATTTATATTAAAAATTAATGGTAAAATAATGATACCCAAGCATTTTTAGAAAAAAATAATCATGATTATTTGTCAATATCTTTTAATTTATTGCGATAAATAGCCTCAAATTTAATGGGGAAGCTAAGCCTTCCTTGCCTCCTCTGACGGGCCGCCGCTGAAGATAACTGGTGGAACCAGAGCACGAAAGCATTCGTGATCCAATACTAGATTATTACTTGACGATATTTCATGGTGAATTTAACTAGTTCGGACTTCTGTTGTCTAATATGATTTTAATATGATTCGAAATCTATGAAAGAACAGAATGAATAGCTAAAATACCAATTATATAAAAGCAATAAAACGTGAAATTGAAATACAATAAAACGAATAAAATGAAATAATGAAGATAAATGATGAACATGGCCACATAAAAAATAAATAAAAAAAATATAAATGAGCAAGAAAATTAAAACACCAATAAATGAAAAAAATTAAAAAATAAATAAAAATATAACTGAAAAAATGCTGTGGTCTTCTTTGCTTATAATCTCCAAAAGTTTCAACTGCAACTGCGGCTGTCACTTTCAATGGCGTGGTCGAAGTACTCTTCTTGAAGTTTCAGTTGACACGCGGTTGTTGTGGTCTTCTTTGGTTATAATCTTCAAAGGTTGACAGCTGCAGTTGAAGCTGCGGCAGTCATCTTCAGTGGCAAGGTCCGCTTCACTGGTTTACCGGGAGTCCACTGTTTTCTGCTTAATTACGGTCAACTCCCGCCAAACGGTCAACTCCTGCTAAATCGGCGAAGCGGAGAGAGGGATAGGTGAAAGCGCTCGAATGACCTATAAATATTCATTACCTGACGACGATTGTGGTTCACCGCATCCTCAGGGAAGATGACGACGATAACATCCGCCCAACTTCTGTAGAAGAGCTGAAGGGTTATATCAGAGCCGCAAAGGCCAAGAAACCTCCGGAGGTCGATTCAATAACGAATAGGTTGTTGAAAAGGCTCCCAGAAAACTGCGTTGAAAACTTACTAAATATAGTAGATAAACAGTTCGTTGGTCCTCAGATACTTCCCCAGAAGGTGGAAGCATGCGATCGTTGTCATGCTCCCGAAACGGGGCCAGAACCCACTATTCCCACAGAAATATCGCCCGGTCAGTCTGCTTTCGTCGGCGGCTAAGCTGACTGAAAGGGTCGTTCTGCAACGGTTCAACGAAGAAGTCGATGACCGAAATGATCTGCCTGACGAACAATTCGGCTTCAGGAGAGAACACCACTGAGTTACAGGCTCCGAGACTGGTCGAAACTGCCATCGCAGAGCTAAATAATAATCGCAAAGTCCACGACGTCTTATAAGACATCTCGAAGGCCTTCGACCGTGTATGGCACGAGGGCCTTTTGCATAAGTTAATTGCGCTCGACCTGCCTCGGGGTCTAACCCGGTAGATTGGGTCTTTTCTGAAAGACGGAACATTTCAGGTTAGAGTAGAAGGCTTCTTGTCTGTCAACAGGGAGATCCTCGCTGGAGTACCACAGGGAGCTGTGCTCTCTCCTACCTTATACTCGCTCTACACCAGCGACCTCCCGAGGTCCGAGCGTGTAAAGGTGTCTCTCTACGCCGATGATACGGCTCTCCATACTATAGGTGGTTGATTTGATATTTCATTTTTTTGAGTATGTTCTTCGAAAATGAGGAAGCCGTTGTTGGGTAATTAAAATTTGTTCTGTTCTGTTTAAAATCTGTTTTTTCCGTTAATCAGCTATTGCCCCCATACGACCGACAACTCTCAGAAGTTGAGAAACTTGTGCGAGCCAAGGACTAACGAGGTCTTACCCTTTAACGTGTGATTCCTAACACGTAGTTTCCTTCTTTTTATGACCCTCGTTTTTTTTCTCAGTTTCCACATGTTCTATTCGATGGACGAAAAATAACAGTACACAAATTTTCTCTATACTCTTAACAAAAACTTCCATCATTTGAATGGAAAAGGTGAAAATATTCAACTGTTATTTAAGCTCAATATGTCTGTATGATTATTGATGTAGTAAATGCGTACTTACAATAGTTTATTGCATTATATAGCTGACTTATAAGATATTCATTATTTATCAGAACAATAAATCTATATTAGATTTGATGGAAAAGTTTTTGCAGACAAGGTCAGTAGCAAAACAATATGCAGTTCAGCTCGAAATGGGGAATATTACTGGAGTTTTATCCCAACACCTCGACACGTGTTTCGATCACCAAGTGATCATATTCAAGAGGAAAATCAAACTGAGTTTATTCTTCCTGAAAGATTAATGAACCTTTTTGAGATTAATATTCCTGAGATTAAACTCAATTTAATCTTTCCCTTGAAGATGATCACTTGGTGATCGAAACACGTTTCGAGGTGTTAGAAATAAGGGTTTAGTGTTGGGATAAAACTCATTCATCACTTTACTAGTTCCAAACAGTGCATCACAAGTCAATATGTCTCCATCTTGAGATGGAGCTTAACGATTTTGTGAGAATGCTCGCCATCGCATCTAGTGCCAGTAAAAGTACTCTTCTTAGAATTGTGAAGCAACTCAAAAGCATACTCTGCGTGATAAAAATGGGGCGTGTTATGTTTTCGAAAGATAACTTTTCGAAAATATAGGAATGTAGGCTTTTACGGCTGGCGCCAATGTTTTGGTTGGCTTTTCTTCAGCGGCGTGGTCGAAGTAGTCTTCTTGACGTGTCAAGTTGACACGCCACGCCACTGAAGATGACTGCCGCAGTTGCAGTTGAAACCCTTGGGGATTATAACCAAAGAAGACCACAGCTAAACCCGGAAACCAATCAAAACAATTAGTAGGTAACTAAATCAGTTAATTATTATGTTCAACATACAAGTTCTTGATAACGAATGAATCAATTTCGAAAAAACGTACAGAGGTAATAGAGTGACAAAAGACCTGTCAAATGATATATCACACGACCTCCCTGCCACTAAAAAAATATAGGGGTTAGCTGCTGCTTATAGGAGGGGTCAAGTTTTCGTTGGAACGCACTATATCAGCAAGTAGTTTGCTTGGGAGAATGGAAAAAATTAGGAAAATTAATAATAAAAATAATAATATCGTTCATTATGAAAAAAAAATACATTTACACATAAAAGGAAATATAATTTTGGTCAATTTTACAATTTCATTGCACTATCATACATTGAATTTCAAATTTTTTCAATTAGCACTGAGCAGTAAGCATCAGTGATTTTATTTCTTTCTAAAATTGATGAATATTATGATTTAAAAGGGGTAAAATTTCATTCAGATAAGAAGGGGCTATATAAGAAAAACATCCTTGACATTTGAAAGTACGGTGCCTAGGTATGTTGAATGAGTTAATTCTCAAATGGACCATATGTATGTTAGAATGCCTACCTAATAAACTATATAAATAACTAGGTGTTTTAGTTTGACGCATCTTAAACAAAAACATTTTTATCAAATATTTGATTCTGTATCTCACATTCAGCTCCTTCATTTTTTTATCAAAAATGTTCACCATATGGTATATAGCATACGAATAGCATGCAAGCATTTTGTATACGTTGTAACTTCTGCTTGTTATATTTCGGCAAAAAATTGTAATACATCGAACAACAATGCCCGATAAGGGGGTAAATAAGAGTTTTAACTAACTTGAGTTTCATTTCTTGTGATAACTGATACTTGAATTTATATAGCGATTTGAGTTTGAAGAATGATACTTTGAAAATGTTTCTCACATGTTCATGGAAAGACAAATAGATATCTATGGTTACGCCAAGATTTTTAGCACTGTCTACTCAATCAATATCTGCGTTATCGAGAGTGAGCCTAAAGTTACACCGAGTTTCTACTATTTGTCTTTGAGACCCTATGCATAAGGCCAAAGTTTTATTTGGATTGATTTTCAGTCCATGATTCTCCGAGTATAGAATTGTTTTGTGCAAATCTGTGTTTATATTGGCCACGCAACTTTCTGCATCGGTGTTATGACAAGACAAATATAACTGTATATCATCTGCGTATAGATGTACTTGACAATGTGATAAGAAAGTGGGGTAATCAAAAATAAACACTGAAAACATCAAGGGTCCTAAAATACTTCCCTGCGGTACACCTGAGATTGTTTCTTTTAGGGATGACCATGAGTAATCATCCAGAAAAACGATGTCAATTTCTATATAATTCTGTTTTTAAATTAATATCAGCTGACCAACGTTTCTGAAGTACTAACCAACTCCCATTCAGACCAAAATCCACTTCAAATGAAACTAATTCGAACAATATACTATAACCACCATTGTTTGCATATCAATAAAATACACTTATGTAAGTTGAGGCAGGTCGAAATTCAAGTCGGCCAATACGAAAAACCCGATTTCCCCCTTCAGAAACGTTCAACGTTTCTTTATGCGTTTTTCCTTAGCTCTCCAAATGCGCATGTTCCCGCTTGGTATTCGCGGCTCACCCTGTATTCGCAATTGGTAATGTGCGTCCACTTATCGACTTCAGTGGTTGGTGTCGGTTGTTAGCTGTTTTCCGCTTGTGAGTGTCGGTCGGCGCGCATTTGAATATAGATAGTATGTTATTTCAACTTCAATGAGACATCACTTTTTCAAATTATCCATGAAAAAGTGTTCGGAATACAAACAAGTGAGTGATATTCGCTTTTTTAATGATTTCGAAGGGCTTTCAGGCTGGATGTCATTCGAAATATTTTTCGATGAAACGGGATTTCATTTTTTCAAACTTTATGATCGATCGGTGTTCAAAAAATAGGATAAAAAATTAGCTCAAAACAAAAACATATCAAATAATCCATCCAGTTTGTCATCAGAAGTATCTAGCTCTATAGAAACTGCAATTACACATTTCCACCTATCTATTGTGTCTTAAAAAGAATAAACAAGGGTGTATGAAAAAAAAATAGAGGGAATAAGTAGGTCATACAATAATAATAACAAATTTATTCCTTTATGTCGATCACAAACAATGATATAGAAATCAACAAAAAAATAATAATTGCATTTATACATAAATGCTGACAATATAAAGATATAGATACATTTCCCAATCGTCTACAAGTTTTTGAAGATATTATTTAAAACCTAGTATCAAGACACATATTAAATTAAATTGATAAAGTGTAAAAAATATATTGGATACTCAAAAAGTCATATGCTGAAAAGAGAATATTGTTTGTTTGGTGACATTCAAAAAACTCTTTGACAGAGACACCTCCCAAGTGAATATTCTTTGAGCTTAAGTTTGGAAACATTGGTAATTTTAATATTTTCAATGTGTATGAATCTTGTCTTTTTCTTTCTCAATTCGTGAACTATAATGAGAACAGAACTAATCCTGTGAAAACTGCAATAATCTGAAGTTACGGAGTAACTTTTCGTATTGAACTGAAAAGTTTTCCCGTTTTACAGTATAGAGGTCTCCATTAAAATTTTTATGTCTTTTCAAATTGTGGAATATCAAGCAATGTTCATTATATTGTTCTACAAGGTCAATTGAGCAATACAGGTCAAAACTGGATATGAGCCACCTGTTCTTTGGAAGGCGTTTCAATAGCTCTTTTAGTTTGACCAACAAACTTTTGTCGATGTCCTCACAGCTCATTCCATCAATCTCAGACTTTCCAGTTTTAACCAACGTATCTTTCGACTAATCAATTGTTGAAATTTACTAGCAGTTGTCAAACTGCATACCATGGAGCTGCCGGATTTCATCCAGAAACGAGCCATTCGCCAGATAGGAAACACAAACATCACTTGCAACCTTGATGTTTAAATATGTACAAAACACAGAACATACCAAAAATGTAAGTGGATAAAATTCTATAATAGTAATCATTGTTGTGGATATTTATAGTAATGTCCTACACTGGCTTGATAATATGTTTTACATTTTGTAATAATATAATTATTTGTATTCAATTGTGAAGTATTGCAACAAACGACGATATATTGTTTTTCGGTATCCGAGAAAAGTATTTGACTATCATTTGTTTTTGCAGCTTTAGTCTTCAATATAACCTTCGGCTATTGTTGATGATCTCCAACCTCCATGCATTTTTAACGTGGTTATATGTGCCCAAGAGTCCACTACAATATAGCGGAACAATTCTGTAGTTTCTTCTGGCATTTTCCAAGTTTATGGATACCAAGCCGTTTTTTGCATGCCTCACCATTAGTATATCAAAAAGAAATTAGATAATTAGCCTAATGGTCTACAGAATCTACAGTCATATTTTCTGTTGATATTCCACTATAATAAACGATTGGTATAGCTTACCACTTCTACATACTCCCGCTCTCCCAAAATTTAAAACAAGCTGAATAAAATACATTTTTCATTTATGAATTTTTACTTCATCTGGATCTTCAAAAAAAAATTGAATTAGTGACTTCTGTCTAGTTCTTGGGATTTTTTCGCACAGTTACCATATGATTGACGCTTCAAAAAGGTTCACAATTTAAAATATTTGAAGACGTCAATGATATATAACTACATGAAATATGTAGACCATTAACTCGAAGGTTTCAATTTCTTGGATAAACCTGTAAGGTATGGCGGTAAAACTTTTTCGAAAATTGATACAAACTTTTTGTTATTGCAATCCATAAATATTCTATAACACATCATATAATTTTCTGGATTTTGTAAGCAACAAATTATTGTTGTATTCTGCATCTTTTGATAAATCTTCTGTTCCTTCATCACTTTTCACTATTTTAGAAAACATAAAAAACTTGTTAGGAGGTCTACGCACAGAATATAATCTCTTCTGCAAAGAATTTACTCTTAAAATGATGGAATAAAAATGAAGATTTTCAACTGAACGAACCAGAAAATGTACCTAGCAACCTAGACTTTTCTAAGAAATGGAACTAGTAATGTGATTTAAGCAGGGCTATGGAATTGAACAGTCATGTCTACGTCAAACACACAATTATTATTCATATTCAATATTACATTATCATTTTTGGTAAATACGGTCTAACCCAGGGGTTCCCAACCGGTGGTACGCGGGAACGTTTCAGGTGGTACGCGTGAGAGATGTGAACAAAATGCTGTTGATAGCAAACATGACTCAGCTCAAGGGTCGCTAGAAAAAAGAAATACCTATAACCCAGTGAACGACCTGACATCTTTTCTATTAAATTGGAATTTATAATTCCTAGGTAATAAATAAAACAATAAAACACTTCAGGAATTTTACCTAGGAATCCCCAGATAGTACAATTGGTAAACAAAATGTGTTTCATTTTTTACCTATGGGTCTTGAAAAAGGATTGATTGTTACTTTCACTTGGCATTACAGGTTCGTTGTGGGTGTTGTAATTATTAATTCTGATTTCGTATAAGAAAACTGAACTATGAAACGATTTCTGACGTCCTCTTCTACTTCAAAGGATTGTGCTAAAAAACCTAAATTACCGGCCAATCGTAAATACGATGAAAGCTACACGCACAGTACGGTTTTATAGTGAAACCAGGGACTGAAACCAGTGACATTCCCATTCCTCAATGTGTTGTATGTCTTGAAACACTTTGAAACCCATCCATGAAGCCTTCTTCACTGATGCGACACCAAAATACTAAGCACTCTGATTTGATTGAATTGAATTTTTTAAAAGAAAATCTAGATTTTTTAAAGAAAGAAACCCAATGTTTGACGAAGTTTGTCAATACTGATACTAACTTGATAAAGGCATCATACCTTGCTAGTTTAACAATTGCAAAAGATGAAAAGCCTCACACAATAGGTGAGACGCTTTACTGCCGGCCTCTGTGGATATGGTTCAAGCCGTGTTAGGAGAAAAGGCAGCCAAAGAAATTTAAGAAATACCACTGCCAAATAACACACTAAAAAGACGAATTGACGATACGTCTAATAATATTGAAGACCAACTGGCTTTAAAACTCCAAGAATGCACTTATTTTGCACTTCAAGTTGACGAAAGCATTGATGTTACAAACATGGCGCAGCTACTTGTTTTCGTGGGATTTGATTATAATGAAGAGGTGATAGAAGAGTTTTTTTCTGCAAACCACTTGAATCAAATACCACAGCGGAACTCATTCTTAAGGTAATTGATGAATATGTGCTCAAAGTAGGCAATCCCTTGTGTACAGATGTGGCAAAAGCTATGTCAGGAAAATTGACAGGGCTAGCAGCAAAAATGAAAAGAGTTGCTCCTAAATGCAAAAGTACGCATTGTGTCATCCATCGAGAAGCATTAGCTGCTAAAAGTATGCCGGAAAATCTTAACTCCGTTCATCAGATGCTGTGAGAGTTATTAACTTCATGAAGGCTAGGGCTCTAAACACAAGATTATTCTCCTTGATGTGTGAAAAAATGGGTGGCAAGTTCAAAACTTTACTTCTGCATACAGAAGTGAGGTGGTTATCTCGCGGGAACATTTTGAACCGTCTCTTTGAACTGAGATCACAAGTTTTCATGTTTTCAAGTGAAAAAAATCAGGACACGAAAACATTGTTTGCTGATGAAGAATGGTTGTCAAGATTGGCTTACCAAGCCGACATTTTTGACAAACTGACCACAGCCTTCACAGTCAGTGACAAAATAAACTCCTTCAAGAGAAAGTTGGTCCTGTTTTGTTCACTAATACAGGAGGATAATTTATCAAGCCGTTGAGGTAAATTCATTCAATATCAATATACATATTCAGTGTTTTCGACGCCCCTGTATAATAGTTTCCTTTTTCCAGGTTCACATTTCTTCGCATCCCTCACAAAGGAGAAACCAATATGAAAAATGATGAAGGTGCTTTTTCGACAAGCTCTGGTCCTACTTCTGTTGATGACAAATGGTTTTTCAACACCAGTGGTGGAGTACGATAAAGCTTCCAAGTACGAGGAGTACGAAATTGAGCACGAAATTTCAATGATGCATGCGAAAAACTCAGTTTTGAGTATGGACATTGACTCGAGTGAGTAGATATTCACATAATTATAGATATTAGAAAAATGTTAAGCCGTCCAGACAAATATCTTATTTGAGTTCAGTTTTTTATAAGTCGAGTATTGTTACAACAATGTTTTTATTCTCGGTAGTCCGGTCAAATTAGATCAAAAAGTAAGAGGAAGGTTACCTAACTTCCCACCAAGCTAAAAATCAGTAAGATTGTTTGAAATATGATCAAAAATAAAATTTTAAAGTTCCTCATCTTTCCCCTTTATGGAAAAATTTTTATTCAAGGTCAAAAGTCAAAAAATGAGCTTTTTACGATTTTCAGCAAAACGGTAACTTTTATAATAAACATACTTCATACATGGTGTACTCATGCATATTATGACGGTCAAAACTTTTACAACTTTTTGAATCGATATATCTAAAAAACAGTGGCTCGTAGGAAAAAAATATCGACACATTTTTTGTAAATATTTTAATGATATACAATTTCTGTCTGGAGTATTTTTATGATAAAACTTACCTTTCTGCTGAAAATCGCGAAAAACTCTTTTTGTTTACCTTTGACCTCGAATAAAATATTTTCCATACATTTTTTCCATCCAAATTTTATTTTTAATCATATTTTAAACAATCTTACTCATTTTCAGCTTGGTGGGAATTTAGGTAGCTTCACTTTTATTTTTGGTCTAATTTGACCGGACTATTTAGAGCATTTCGTTTCAACTGGAATGCACTGTATATTACAATAAACGTTCAATTTCTCTACTACAAATGAATCCATATCATCGTCAACACCCTTTGTCGACGAAACTGATCCCAAATAAAGCCACGAGCAGCAAGAACTGCATCGTTACATAATCCAACCAGTGCCTTTATTGCTCAGTCGGTTTTAATGATGCGGTTGTGGATGCGCCATTACGTAGCTGAATCGATGTGAAATANAATTGGACTTACATGGAACACTATCACCCTCACTGGTATACATCTGTGAACCTAAAAGTCTTCCTGAGTAACTCGAACACCTGGAAAATATATAGAATGCCAATAGAAATTCAGACACACAGAAATAAGCAATGGACATCGATAAAATCTGGCTACCTTTCCTTAATTGTACACAAACAAGGTCATTTAATCCAATTAGGAGAAACGAAGCTACTAATAGACGAAACGTCAATTTCATAAATACGCAAATCTTATTTTAATATGTATTTTCAGTTGTGGGGATTATTCACAGCTAATAACATACTGTATTATTCCAAATTTATTGAAGACGCTGACACCACTACTCATTAAAATAATTTGGAAAGTACATTCAGGAGATGTTATTGCACAAAGTTTTTCTGACAATATATTCATGATGTAAATGCTTATAATTCAATATATTTCATAGCCCTGAAGAAGGCGCTAATTGATCACCCAAACTTTGGTAAATATAATTGTTTTTTATGTCAACCGCTGGTAAAATTCAAAATCACCATTCTAGTGATAGCACAGTATAGCAGTATACTCAAACTGATTTTTCTTTGTTGGGATACTTCGTTATTGATCCAGTTCCACCTTGAGAAAGTTCATGCTTTTCAATTGGTTGAAAAATAATCAATATTTTATTCATGATTCAATTTTAAATGTCAAGGGTTGCAACCGTTGTCACGCAAACCGTATTTCTCGTCTACAATCCCCCAGCTATTTCTTCTATAATTTATAGTACAGGGAGAATCTTGACTTCTGTAAAAACTAGTTGGAAACTACTGAATGTTGAAGAGGAAAGGGGTGAAAGGGGTGAGGCCTATTGTTGGGGTTTGATAGCCTTGCGCGGGTAGAACAGGATTTACAGTTGTGTGCAATATTGATTTTTGCATATCGCTGTATATAATTGTAATTTAAAAATATTCGGCATAATACAGTATGTGCCAAAAGGATATGGCACACAGAATATTATCTTTATCATTTTCTACGGTACCTAGATCAACCGATAATATCTCATCAGTGAGGTCTGAGTAAAAAAGGCTCACTACAAAAAATTTTCGGGATTGAAACATCTCGCCAAATAAAATCTCATACAAAAACTTCTCTAATTTTGCCGTTTCATTTATTTATTTCGTTGATCGCCTTATATGCTTGTTCAATTTAGCATTAGTCTAGATATCCTTCCTTATTGAATCGCTGGGCAACAGCTCTGCGTCATAAATCATTTTCATCAGACGGCTTTACTTCAATACCGATATCAAATTCTATATTCGTTGAAGTACCTCCTAAAAATAGGAGAAATTGGCATATGGCAGACTTGTGTACTGTTTCGAAGGTATCCAGATGAAGGATTGAAATCGTGGGGAAAAAATTTACGTGTGATTGAACCACCGACCCCGAAGACTTTAAGAAAAGTTTTCCAACGTTTCTAATGCAAGTTGAATACTACAATTCGATGAATTCACAATTCTCAAACACAAATTGGAAATCGACATTTTCTTCTTGGGCCTTCAATACAAACTCTGTGATCATTTATAATAATACTACATTTCATATCGCGTTAAGTAGTTAAAAAATATTGATGTTACTTGTGAAATTAACTGTGCTACATTTGGAGTGATTTGAAACTGATTTGCAATGTAAAGGACATAACAAAATTATTCAAATGAATTAATATATTTTCACAATCTTTGGAATAGTCTGTGTGAAGCTGGAGTTGACTGGATCGGATTGTTATAGACAATACATACTAAAAGGCCCCAAATCAGAACCTTGTTGCAACCCAGATATATCAATTACTCGATAGACTGATGCATAACTCCATTTGCGTGTCTGCCTACCTACCTAGATGTCTTTTGATTTTGCACAATAAACTTGCATGTCTACGCAAATTGAATCGATACCTGTACATAAATAAATGAATGAATACATACTCTAATAAATTAATGAAAGAATAAGTAGATAAATGAGAAAATTCATAAATAATAAATGAATAAAGGAATAGAACATGTATAGAAAAAATAAATGTAAGTTTTCAGTGATTTCAGTGTTGATTGTGATGAAATAATGAAAACAAAAGTGTCATTTAAAAACATGACTTCTGTCAGTTTTTGAATATCAATTTTTAATGTAGATATTTTCCTGAATATTTTATAGCCGAAACTGGAGAACATCACAAAGTATAAAGAAAGTTGTAACAACATTTTCTACTTGGGAAAGAAAGTTTTTGGCCTTCTTGATGCAAAAAAAGGATAAGGGAAT